ACTTAATGTAAGGATTGTCTGCGTACTGCCCAAGTCAGTGTTGACCCTCTCCCAGTTCAGTTCAGAACAGTAACTATAAAGAACAGTTCACTCTTTATTTCACGGCATCTTACTTTATAACCAAACTGTAATTTATCAGACTTATATTTTCTGCAAGTATTCTTCAGATGGCATTCCTCTCCCGATACTGAAAACTACAGCAAACCCACATTGTAACAAAAACTTAGACTATCAATTTGTTAAATATTACATAGTAAATTTTAATACTAAAAAGTCATGATTACAGCAAACCACAAGTCAATGCACAAATTGATGAGATAATCAATAACCAGACAATCTATACCCAAAATGACAAGAGAATTTATTTATTAAATAGATAGACCTTTAAAAGGGTTAAATTACTGACCCATGATCAGTAACCCCACATGAGCAACAACAAAGAAAAATAAGCTGACATGTACGGTAGTTCTTCCCAACACAAGTCCAAGCAATATACCGAATACATACACGTGTGATCTATTTATAACTCAAAGGGCAGAGGTATTTTCTTAGGGCCATTCATGTTCCTCCAACCTCGGTCAGCAACTTGCTACGAGTCATCAACTATAACACGAAAAAAAGCAGTGACAGTAAAAATGTGTGATTAATATTACTCTTCCCCAACTACTACTGGCTGAACAGTTTACTACCTAGAAGTATTACTCTGAAATGTATCATGGTCTACTTTTTCTTACAAATATTGTTGATTTTGAAGCAGGTATTATTTATATTTAAGAATTAATCAAAAATGTTAAAAAAGTCACGCACTGACAGTGTGTTAAAAGGAAAAGACTTCTGAACTGTTAAGAGCAGGAAAAGTGCCATCAAGACAGAAATTTTATATTCAGTGACTGAAACAGTGATAATGAGAATTTCTAACACTTGTGGATGGTCCATAACCATATTTTTACAAATGAAAAGCATTTAACTGTTCTAGATTCCAAACCAGCACACTACAATGCTTTGCTAAAGCTGGTAAAATGGAACCAAATCGCCTCTTCAATGGATTTGGTCCCCTTCAACCAGCTGTAGCTATGCATTGATTACTACAGGAGAGCCAGCATTTTCGTTTATGAGTATCAATTCCATGTCAACTAATTTCAACTTAAGTTATTCAGACTGTGGTTAAAACTAAATAACTTGTTACTGTTCTACTTGGAAGAACTAGAATGTTTAAAGATATTTATAAAAAAGTATTATGAAAGATGTGTGGGTGACTTATGAATTTCAAATAAAATTACTCATTTATGATCTCTTGGTATTAAATTTCTTATTCTTCAGAAAAGAATAATGAAAAGTAGGCTACACTTCATAATAAGAACATACCTCCTTCAGAAGAAGGAATTATCTGGGAAGTTCACCTAAAATCCATGTGAAAATCTGAGGGGACTGTCCCAGCACAGGTCACATGGACACACATGTATTATTTCTAAGAAGTAATAGAAAACTACACTATTACACAAAGCACTACTCTAGAAATGTCCAGTCACTATCTTGCACGAGATGAGCCTTTAATTTTACCACTAAATCCCTGAACATTAACAAGAAAACTGAGAACGGAGAAAATACTACAGAATACCTTGAGAGACTTCAGCAACAAGCATCTAGTTCTACAGGTTCTACAGACTCTGAACCAAAGGTCTTTTAATGCTTAAAGAACACGTGAAGTGTCACAACTTTTACTCATAAGGATATTTCAATGCTCTCTCCTTATTTCCTCAGTTGAAAGGTAGGCACACTCTGTTACTCTCTACCTTTTTGATCCTTTACAACAATCATGCAAGCAGGCATACGTCTCTCAGCAGAAACTGAAGTGAAAAATAGTGAGTGTTACAAGGTGATGGTGTTTGAGAGAAGACGCATAAGCAGAGGTACCAGACACACTACATCATCATGTAATAGATCCTCAGCTGATTTTTGTTCAGTACCCAGCGTGTTCACAATTATAAAAGGGAAAAAATGAACACCAACAGAGTCCAGATTACCAAACCTCCTATATTCAACACAGTTTCATTTACCAAATCACATCTTGGAACTGAGAGTTAAATCAAGACATCATAATGTTCTAGAGGGAAAACGAGTTGCTCATAGCCTCCGTAAGATTTACCATGTGTCTTTGTGGGAATGAATAAATGAGTGAACAAGTCACTCAGTAATAACTTGAAAATACAGCATCACAGCATACAGTTCACTCATATTTTGTTGCTTCTGACATTCAATTTATGGTAAGGAAAAAATTATAAATAATGATATATTAAAAAACTTTGTAATATTGTTATCAGTAGTCCCAGAAGACCTATCAGCTGTCTCGCCAGCTCTGCAGAGAGCCCTGCTGACTGAGGTATCTCCAGCCTGCAGGGAGCGCTGAGTGCAGTGTTCTCACACACAGTGCCCGCATAACCTGCTGACTCAGGAATCCAAAGACATCTAGTTCTTACTTTTAGCAAGAGAAATCGTTTCTGCTCTTGTCTAGTAGTTAAGCCACCATGTATATTATGTATTACTACAGTGTAACAGTTTCCCTGAAGATTAAATTCTGTAATCAGTCACGTAGTACACTTGAAATTTCACTGTCCTTATTGTCAAATTTATTGCCAACATCTATCTCCTATAGTCAGAGCACTGAGGAGGACACACAGATGAATACAACAAAAAGATATGCACATAGTAACAGAGAACATGGAAAAGGGAGAACGAAAGCAGCGGGCGTATTTTAGGAAAGGGCAACAGGGTAATAACGTAACTCAGCGGTAGGCAGGCAGAGGGAGTGAGTGTAATCAGTGGGAGATGAAGCTAAACAGGCTCAGGACATATCAATAATTGGTTCAAATGACAAGTCAAGACATATGTATGTATGTCCATTACTATGGACACGAGAAACAACTAGAAGTTTGGGAACAGAGAGGGGAATTTTAAAGTGATAATTACATGACAGTTGATCAGGAAGAATAATCAGACACTGTAATAGTCGAGGTAAAAATAGTAAGGACTTATTAGGTCAGCAACAGTAGGAACAGAAAGAATGGGACAGGGCTGGGGACCTAGCTCAGTGGTCCCGCCGCTTGTCTCGCAAGCAAAAGGTCCTGAGTTCAATTCCTGGTAACCCCCCTCAAAATAAGAAAGAAAGAATGGACACACTGGAAAGACTAGCAGAATAAATTGAATTTTAAAAGGAACTGGAGCTGAAATTCGTGAAAGCAAAGATCGCCGTAAGCAATGACACACCAAGAGGAAAGTCGCGTTGAAGCATTGTGGTCAGCTAAATTCCTCACCGTCCGGGGGCCTCGCCACACATACAAACCACAAAGCGTGAATGGTACTGTGAAGGGCACAAGAGTTCTGATTCTCAAGTCACACAACTTGCTCCAGTTCCAGCTGTTCCTCTAATCGGCTACATAATCATGGCTAAGCAAATCCACCTTGGTAAGCCTCGCATTCTTCGTCTGTAGGAGGCCTCAAAAGCTGCTCAAAGTGCTGCAGATGTGGCTGAGGGCAGAGCCCTGCTCAGTGTGCACAAGACCCGGGACAGATCCCCAGAGGGCAGGTGGGCAGCATGCAAGGCACTGAGGGAGATGATGCGTGTGGGGCACTCGGCGCTTTGTCGCTGAAATAATTCCTCCTCTCTGACCTATTCTCTCTCCCTCACAGTACAAACTAACCAAGTGTCTGAACGTTCACGACATGACACACAGCCACCCATTACATCTTGCGTTATCAACAGCAACTGCACTGAAAGTCTTGTTTTCAGCAATCACCTCCAGTGATGATCCTAAGAATGAATAAATGAATGAATGGAAACATTAAACGCAACAAGGAACCAAAGAGAATAAGAATCCAGAACACATAAAAATATCAAAATAAATATCAGCATAAATATTTTCCTCGGTCAAGATATTTTCACTTAATCGGACACACACGTCTAAATACTGCATTGTTTCTCTCATGTGGGAATCAAAAAGGGTAAATGAGGGCCAACTGGATGGCAGGTATTGGGAAGCAGGAAGAAGACGGGAAGGGGAGAGAGAAAGAAAGAAAAAAATGGAAAGTTTTTGTAAATAAGGAAGGGGGAAGAAAGGTTGGAAGGAGAAGGGAGGACTGGGGAAAAAAGAAAAATTAAGATCTATTATGCACCAGTACAAATTCCCATGATGAATGTTATCATTACGTGTATCAAATTTGTACCACCAAAATTAATTTTTGGGTTTTTTTGGTACCAGGGATTGAACTCAAGTCCTTGAGCTTGCAAGGCAGGCCACAGAACCGCTGAGCTAAATCCCCAGCCCGTCCAAAATTAATTTTTAAAAAGACATATAATACTGGATTCAACTAGAGACCAGACAACTAAAGCAGAATTTTCTAAAATGCAGATTAAAAGTACGCTGTTCCAAAAAATGAAAACCTCAAACTTAAACAAACATAAACACTTCCTCTCCTGGGGACTCCACAGATCCTCTCTGCATACCGTGACTCTCCAAGGCAGCCTCTCTGAAACGCTCCCCAGCCAGCCCTTCTCACCACAAATCTGTTACTGTAATAGTAACCGGGCTCATCCATATTCAAAGTTTATGCAACTGATTATATTATTAACAAGGAATTAGGTAACTATATTTATTTGGCCACAAGTTTTTTTTAATTACCAAGCAAATGGAGAACACGAATCAGAAGATAAGCTGAGAATGATCTTGAAGAAACAAAAATCTCAACACAGAATGCATTTTAATTAAATCTTTAGATATAAGCCAGGATTCCTGTATTTTATACCCACATTTAATATATAAACCATCATTTCATAATACTTATATCATATAAAGCTAATCTACTGAATGAGGGCATAACCTCCACAGACCTTTAAAATTATTAAAGACATTGAAATCAGCATTAAAGACACTGAAATCATTTCTTCGTCAGTAGCCGGGGAAGAAACAGCAAGACAGCAGCAGTACTTCTCCCTGGCGTTTTACCTGGGATTTCCCCGGAGGGCGGCGTGATGCAGAGCATTGAACCCGTTGTTGTTTGTGATGGTGACATCCGCACCCGCTTCCAGGAGGACGGCCAGGATGTCATCACGCTTCTTGCTGATGGCATCATGAAGAGGGGTATCTCCTTCAGAGTCCTTTTTTAAGTTTAAAGAGATTTTTGTTAGTTCTCCTTAATTCAATCACCACACCTAGTCACAATACTCATACAGACCTACTAAACAAACGCAGGCCACATTTCACAGAGTATGATCAATAAGTGATGGCATTCTGTTGTGTAAAATACGAAATGCAGGCAAGAAACGTTAAACACACTAAAATAGTCATACCACTAACTGCTGTACCCCAAAATTCTCCTCTGAGCCTGAACAAGTCTGAGGTCCCCCAACAATGAATTAAAAGTTAAGTGTTTTTCAACCCTGGCTGCACATTAGAAAGTGCTAAAGAGCCCTAAAAAATCCTGACCACACCAGGCCCAGGGTGCATGCATGTAATACCAACTGCTCCAGAGGCTGAGGTAGGACGACTGTGAGTTAGAGGTCAGCACAGGCAACTTACCTACACCCTTCCTTAAAATAAAATATTAAAAGTGCTGCAGATACAGCTTAGCCCTCCCTGCATTCAATCAGTACCATCTCTCCAAAACCAAGACAAGACAAAACAATCCTGATCCCAGCTGGCTCTCCAGACCAACCAAATCTCTAGGGGTAAGAACTAACCATCAGTAGTCTTTCAGGGCTCCCCAGATGAATGTATTGTGAAGCCACAGGTGAAAATCATTAATCTAAGTGTTTCAAAGAGCAGAAGCCACAGTGGTGATGCATGCCTGTAGGCCCCAGCACTTGGGAGGCAGAGACAGGAGGATCACTGCAATTTCCGAGACCAGACTGGGTTACATAGTGCATTCAAGGCCACCTGAACTACACAGCGAGACCCTGTCTCAAAAAAACAAAAACCAAAAAAAATTGGGAGTCTCAGGCTACCATTTTGCAAGCTATTTTTTTTACAGTTAGCAACTGATTTAGCACTAAGTTGCTATTCTGCATCAATGAGCAATTTAGACCTGTCACAGATTCTCCGGAAAGTCATAAGCAGCCTATCCTGTGGCACATACCACACTCACCGAATCCAACCTGCCACCTGTTTTTGTAAATTAAGTTCAACCAGAACATAGCTTTTTTTCTGGCCCTTTCCTCAGAAAGACCGCGCATCACAGGCATATATTCACCCAGCTGTGTGAACCGAGTTCGACCCAATCACCTATCTTCTATCCTCCTGAATCTAGTGTGTAGTCTTGAACTTGAGGCGAGCTCTCACCACAGTCAGATTCTTCTACAGGTCCCTGATCTATTCTGCCTCCGGGTCCCCAAAACAGCCACTCCAGGCCTTCAGCACTACTCTCAACCTCCCTCCTCCACCTCAGGCCCACCTTACCCTCCCAACATTTAACTCTGCCTCGCCTGTCAAAAAGAAAAAAAACCAACCGATTAAAAACTCCTCTCCCTCAAAGGATTAAAACCCTCAATCCCCCCATCCTCCCATTCTGTCACCTATTTGCAAGGCAACAGCCTGCACCCTATAGGTTCCAAAATGGCTACACTTCAGAAAAATTACTTTTCGGTAATCAGCTAGCTAAACAAAGTCTCCCACTCCTTCAGCTCTAAATTCCTCACTCCATTATCCCTGTTCTTCTTCATTATCTCTATGGGATCTATGAATTCTCCGGCTGCTGTCAAAGATCTAAACTGCACATTAAGATCTTAATGATCCCTCCCCCTTTTACAAGGTATTTTTTACATATTAAGACAGTATTTCAAGGACCATTTTTATTTAAAAATATGTTATTTCAAGCCTATTCTGTTCAGATCATGATAGAAAACAGCCTAAAAAGGAACCAAAAGTTGGCAATTATGATCATGTGCTATTCTGCTATGAAATTATTAGGCATTCATACCAAATTCTAACTGAACTGAAGAGATTACAGACAAAAAAACTACGTTTCCCTTACATATGTGCTTTAATTCACTAGGTGCTAAACTGTGACCAGGAAGAATCATTTCTTAGGTGATTTTTTTGCTTCAAAAATTAGGTAATCAGTCTGGGGATTAGCTCAGTGGTTCCACTGCCTGCCTTGCAAGTGCAAGGTCCAGAGTTCAATCCCCGGAAAAAAAAAAAAAAAAAAAAACTAGGTTCTCAGCTACAAAAAATTAGGTCACTTTGTACATCAATCCTAAAAAATGACATATATATTGCAAAACAGAAAACTTTCCAGGACTAGGCTACCAAGACCAAGACCCTAAAGACAAAATAAGCAACCATGAAAATGATGTAGACTGTTATAAAATAATTATTGTATAATACAGTTTAGCCAGGTGTGGTGGTGCACGCCTGTAATCCCAGCACTTAGGAGGCTGAGGCAGGAGGATCACTGAGAGTTTGAGGCAGGAATGGGCTACAAAGTAAGTTTAAGGCCAGCCTAAACTAAAAAGCAAGATACTATCTCAACCAGGGATGGGGTATCTCCCTCTCTCTCTCTCTCACACACACACACACACACACACACCAGCTTATTCTTTGAGCTGAAATTCACTGTCAGGATCCATAAAATTAAATAAATTCATAAGCTGATGTTTTTTCAAGAAGTCCTTGCTTCACCCCCAATCTACTGATGTTTTACAGTTTTTCTAAGAAAGCACAGCTGCCAGTTTTATAACACCCACACCCATGGTGCCTTTTCCCACGACCAATCATACCCCACCAGACAGTAATGAAGCATTAGCACCACAGAACTGAGCGCGTCCCTTCAACAGGGTCCCACCAACACCTGCACACTTTTCTCCGGAAGTCGCACCTGGAGACTGGGGTGACAACCGAAGTCCAGCAGCGTCTTCACGACCTGCAGGTGACCTTTGTTGACAGCGATGTGCAGGGGCGTCTGGCGGCGCTTGTTGCGCGCATTGAGGTCAGCGCTGCCCCGGTGCAGCACCTCGATGACAGCACCCTCGTCCCCAAAGGCCGCGTGGTGCACCGCTCTATCGCCATCTTTGTCCTAAATGTTGGCGTTTAAATTTGAATTAGTGGGTATTCAAGAAGGAGAAACAAAGCATGGAGCTAGAAGAATACACCAAGGACCAAGTTAATATGAGAAAACAGTGGCGCTAACACAAGCCAGAAATGGATTTGAACGGGATTCCCCTATCGATTCACTGCACACAACACTGGGCCAACGGTTATCACCAACTCTCCACCATCCCCGACTTATCAGCCATGATACTAAGCCAACTATAGGACCGTGTCCAATAAATTACTTATCTTCTGGTATTTGCAAAATTTTATAAAGACTTTTTTTTTTGGGTACTCGAACTTGGGGATCAAACTCGGGCCCTTGTGCTTACAAGGCAGGTGACGAAACCACTGAGCTAAATCCCCAGCCCCTATAAAGACTTTTTTAATGACATAAGAATTACACTAACATTAGTCGAGTGGTTTAAAACAAAGAAAGCCTAAAAGCAATGTCTCAATAGCTTTAAAGAGGCTACTACATCAATATGTTAATATTGGTTATTGTTAAGAGATGAGCATATACTTTTCTGTATATCTAAGACAGAAATACCTTTAAAAGACAAAAATGAAGCATAAGAAATCAAATTCCATACACCCAAAATCCCAAAATTTTCAGAGGAATCAAACAGATTTTCTGCCCTATGATGAATGTTAATCATTATGTACATCTAAAATGTACCAATAAATGTGTTGCTTTAAAAAAAAAAACAGGTTTCCCATACTTTCTGGGATAGGTATATTTCTAAAGAGACGAGAGGGCAAGAAAGATCTAATCATTTAAAAGTTTTAAAAAATATAAACTGCCAGGGATTTAGCTCAGCGGTGCTGCCACTTGCCTCACAAGCACGAGGTCCTGAGTTCGTTCCAATCCCTGGTACCGGGAAAATAAAAATGAAAAACGGCACTGTCATTATGTCAATTCCATGCCCCAGTTCAGACACACACTAGTCAGCAAGACTTCCTCCTGAGCAGTGATCCCACTCCATGTGCCAGTCCCTCTAGACTGTAGATTTTGCAAGGGGTCCAAAAACCCATGTGGCACCCAGGATCTTCTAACTACTTTTCAAAGGAAACAAAATACATGCTGCTGTGATTAAACACATTTAATACAGATGAACAGATCACGCAAAACAGCTACTGAATTCAAAGTTTTTATTTTTTCCTATTTGCTCCGATATAAGAAGTCACTTACACAGGAATGCACAACAGCTGGACAACCATTCTTAAAAAGTAGGAAAGTGAGGGAAATTCCTATCCCGTTGGGGACCAAGCTATGTGAGAAACTACTGGGGACCAGGCTACATGACTTAGGTCCCACAGTCTCAAGGCCAGTGTGACTTGCTTTAGGAAAAAGGAAATATACGGAAGGCTGCATGTTTCCTGGCCGTGTGGGAAAAGCTCAGAATCATAGTTCCTAAGGCAAGATAACATCTGCTAAGGACAATGCAGAAAGACTGCAGGAATCCAGGTATGGAGGAGGACCATTCCTCATGTTTCATTGCTCCACCCTTACTGCAGCCACTGTTTCAGGAAAAGTACACTACCTCTCCCTCTGTGCTTCTTACTGGCTAATAAAAGCAGCTCAACTGTGGAGTTTATCAAGCTTGTCTGCCAGAGGCAGGATCCTCCTGGTCCCCCTTACACCTTGAGTATTGTCTCCGTCTTTCTTTATCCGCTGTCATCCCCCTACAGGTATCCAAGGGTCTATTCAGTCCCCTGCACTACCTAATATTCCCAGCTGTACTGGGTTAGTTTGTGTTACCTATCAATCTTGAGAATGAAGGAATGGACAAGAAACTACATGCAAGATTTAAGATTCAACTCTACGCTTCTCAGCAGCAACATTTTTAAACATCCCAGAAAAACAAGCTCTTATATATTTACCTATATAATTACACAATTCAGGATCTCAGAATCTTAAGATCTTCCTAACCTACAATCTGGATTTTCTTCCCATTATAATTTCTAAACTTACTGTATGGTTACCATTCTACTAAAAAAGGAACCATCAATCCACTACTACTGATCAGATGCAGATAAGAACTACTCTTTTTTTTTTTTTTGTACCAGGGATCGAACTCAGGTCCTTGCGCTTGCAAGACAGGCAGCGGAACTGCTGAGCTAAATCCCCAGCCCAAGAACTACTGTCTTGACACCAGTTTAGACTGACATTTCACTTGAGATTCAGGCAGCCCAAAGAAGAGATACAGAGTTGTGGGCTGGATTAAACACCTTTACTCTCAGGTGCCACTCAGCCGTGCAAACCAGTGCATGGGCCCTATCCTGTCACTAGCCCTCAGGGTAGTCCAGCTATATAAAGGGGTCTACACAACAGTGGCTACATGCTAGTAATGACCTTACATACTTGAGTTATTCACAGCAGCCAGAATCAATCCAGTTATTTACACTGAGACCAATGAGGTGAGCCTGAGTGGAAATCTTGCTGACTTGGACTTAATGTCCACTGGAAATCATCCCACCCACCCCCCAGCTTGAACCATACTGCAGCCATCTTGGGCTTCATTCTTCCCTGTAACTACCTGTGAGGGCAACACCTACTTGTGGTTGTTAGACAACAGAGTGAAACACATATGCAGGTCCCTTCAAGTTTATTTATATAAAAACAAACACTAAAATAGTAAAAACCTAGTATATGTGTATCAAAAAGAATGACATTTAAAAATTAAAGATTAGGGTGGCAGGCGTGGAGCGGGGACCAGGTGATTCAAAAGCAGTTTGGCAGTTGCCGCCCAGGATGTGAGCGGGGCCCAGCTGCCTGCACATGGCGGGCTGGGCCATGACCCGATAAAACCGTTGATTACAACTGCTGTCTGTAAGTTCCTGCCAGCTCCTTGGGAGTGGAAAGAAAATGCCCGGTGTCATACCTAGTGAAAGCAATGGCTCTCAGGAAGTGGACCCTCTAAGAAAAACAGACTTTCCTTGAAGTCTTTTCATAAAAAAGAAACTAAGAGAGCCTCAGATTTTACAGACTCTCAAGAAAATAAAGAGCTTCTGAATACAGAGGATCAGAAATTGACCAAGTTGCTCCTGCAGCACAGTCCTCGCCTACAAACTGTGAGAAGAAAGAAAACTTATTAACATCTGTGGGACTGAATAATCCTGGCAATACAGTCATCTTAATAGCATACTTCAGGTATTATATTTTTGTCCTGGTTTTAAATCTGGAGTGAAGCACTTGTTTAGTATCATTTCAAAGAAGAAAGAGGCACTAAAGGATGAAGCTAATAAAAAAGACAAGGGCAACTGCAAAGAAGAATTCGTGGCACGCACTTATTCGCAGTTTAAAGTCCTTAATCATTTCAGTTGAACAGCTGCAGATTAGTTTCCTCCTAAATTCAGAGAAATACACTGATGAGCTTGCTACTCAGCTGGGACGACCGCTCGACACACTCAGGGAGCTCAACCCTATGTACGAAGGCTATCTAGAGCAGGAAGCATTACAGTGCAGCTTGGGAAACATTGAAGAAACATGCCAATTCCTAAAAAAAGAAGTAAAAAGATGTGGCACAATTACCTACTAAGATAGGAGAAAAACCTCATCAGAAAGAGGAAGAGAATAGAATTAAAAGGATGGAAATGGATAATATGAAGGATTCTGTGGATTATAAAGAAAAACCTCCAAAAGGGAATGGGAAAAGAAAACGTGACACTGAATTTGGTAACATGAAGAATAAAGTCAAAGTTTCCAAGGAACACCAGTCACTGGATTAGAACCAGAGACAAACTAGATCAGAAAGAAACTGCTGGGTACACACTGGAGAGTCCTCCTACACTAATCCCCAAGTTTGTCTCTGAAAATGAGAGCACAAGACCCTCACAAAAGAAATCAAAAGTTAAAATTAAGCTGTTAAAGTCTGCCATGAAGCAACCCAGCACTCCTTCTAAATTCTGTGGTCTGGGAAAACTAACAACAAACCAAGGATCCAGAGGGTAATCTAAAGAAAACGAGTAAGATCTTGAAGAGGACTTTGGGAAGTACAATGGTGGTGGACTTGAATATCCAGAAGACCTCAAACCTGTATGTGTTAATGAAGCTAAGCTCAGAAACAAAGGTGCAGAACAGATTTGCTTTGAACTAGTGGAAAAATTACTTCAGGGTTCGCTGGTATTAAGGACTCATTGCCTGGAATGTGAAAGTTTAACAAAACATAGAGATGTCCAGGACATCAGGGCACCAGTACAAGAAGATGAGCATTCCAAAGTAGAGGAGAGTTCTGAAATGTCTCCAGAGCCAAAACAGAAGTAAAGACTCGGAGATGGGCAATTTCACAGTTGGCTTCGGTGGAGAGGATTGTAGAGGATGAATATTTCTGTGAAAGTTGCCATCATTATACTGAAGCCAAATGAAGTATTTTGTTTGACAAAATGCCTGAAGTCATAACCATTCACTTGAAGCGCTTTGCTGCCAGTGGCTTGGAGTTTGTTAAGTTGGTGGGCTTTCCAAGATCAACACTCCCTTAAGGTGCTACTAGAAGATGGAGCACAAGGCCAACCAATGACAGCTAAGGAGTATTTGCAGTTGTAATGCACAATGGCATTACAGTTAGCAGTGGGCATTAATTACACTGCTTCTGTTAGAGTCATCAACTTCAACAGCTTAGAACTGGACAAGGAGAATTTGGAGATTGATCAGAAGTGCAAAGTGGGCAAGCCAGAGCCACTGAATGAGGAGGAAGCAAGGAGTGCAGTTGAAAATTATGACAATGAAGAAGTGTCCCTGAGAGTTGGGGGAAATACACCAAGTAAAGTTTTGAGCAAAAAGAACTGTAGAAGCTGTTGGACTTCTTGGAGGACAAAAGAGCAAACCAGATTATGAGCTCTACAACAAAGCATCTAATCCTGATAAGGCTGCCAGTATAGCATTTGCTGAAAGTAGTTCTGAGACCAACAGTACTGAAGGCACCCTCGAAGCGGACAAGAACCAAGAATCCAGGGACCAAAGAGGCATTTGTATGAGTGGATGTG